AAACAGAAGTTCAAATCTAATGAAGTATGCAAAGAACTGAATGCACAAGAAAAGAAAGAAACAGACATTTTAAAAAATCTAGGAAAAGTAAATACGGCAGGAAAGAATGACAGTTGAGGTTAACCATGTCTGTGATACCAGTAAATGTAAATAAGCTTAACTAACATTAGCAAAAAGTTTCAGTTTGGATCGTTAGGCACATCCAGTGTATATGAAGTAAAAACTCTTAAAGTAAATTCAGAAATGTCAAAAATTAAAGGATGTGCAAAGGTATACCAAGCAAACACTATGTTTTAAGAGTAGTGATCTTAAAATACCATAAAGCCAAAGTCAGGCCTAAAAACAGTAGTGAGCTAAAAATGTCCCTTTATAACACTAAAGGCTGTAATTCACAATGAAAAGATAGCCATCTTAAATATCTTTACATCAAAACACTGCAGCAACATTCATGAAACAAACTGAAAAAATTAAGAAAAAAGAAAACCAAAACAAAGCAGGAAAAATTAATACAGGTAAAAATTAAAAGTTAAAAATAGTAAAACTAATAAAATGATAATATATCATAATTACATGGAGTTTATTTGAGAGATATAAGGATGGTCCATAGATTAGGAAATCTATTCACATAGTATCATTAGATCTAAGTGGTAAAATTTTATGATTATAGATGCTGAAAAAGCATTTTATAAAATTCAGGACCTATTCCTGATTGCAAATAATACCCCAAAACACTATAAGGAAATTGATTATACTTCCTTAACATGATTAAAAGTGGGCATGTGCACATGTATTTGTGTTTATCTCAGCTTTGTGTCTGCTCTGAAGCATTAGCATCTTACTAACAGAAAATTACTAGAGGCATATTTACTAAAATCAGGAACAGGACAGTGAAACTCATTATCATCACTGTAATTATTACTGCATTAGTTACTAGCCAACATCATTAGTCAAGAGAAATATATTGGAACTATAAAAATGGGGGAAAAGTGAGCAATATATGAGACTCAACTAAAAACAAAAATTAGAGGTGGAAACTGAATATAACTCAATAAAAAAATAAATAATAAATAAATAAATAATTAGAGGTGGAAAAGTGTATTAGTTTGCTAGGGCCGCCATAACACAGTACCGCAGACTGAGTAGCTTACTCCACAAACATGTATTTTCTCACAGTTCTGGAGGCCGGAAGTCCCATGTCAAGGGTTCAGCAGATTCTGTAGCCGGTGAGGACTCTTCCTGCCTCTTGCTGTGTCTTCACATAGCCTTTCCTCAATGTGCACACAGTGTGCCAGCCTTATGACCTAAATTACCTCCTCTGTGTAATTATCATCCCCAAAGACAGTGTGTTGGGGTGGGGGTGATTTAGGGCTTCAACATATGGATTTGGGATGAGAGGACGCAGTTCAGTCCATAGCAAAGGATAATGGAATGCACAATTGAAATATGTCATTCAGTAGGCTCCATATATTGCAAACAACTAGTTAAAAATTAAAATGTAAGGAAAGACTCCAATTAAGCAACACAAAAAGTATCTAGGAATAAACTTAACAAGTACGTAAAGCCTATATAAAGAAAAATTCAACACTCTACTCAAGAGCATGTTGAAAGACATAAATATCTTGTATTGGAAGGTTATATTAGAATGAAGTCAATTCTAAGTTAATTTGTAAATATAATCGGAACATAGAGTGTTTTTTTCTCCCCCTGAAACTTGACAGAATGAGTCTAAAATTTCATGTAGAAAAAGTGGGCAAGGAATAATAGCCAGGATTACTCTGAAAAAATTTAAAAAGCGATAGTTACTTTGGCCCCGTGTGGACACCACCACAGACTGTATCTCCTGTGTCTGCTCGCCGCCCGCTGCTCCAGCCTGCTCAGGGGTGCTGGCGCCACCTACTGCTACCACCTTTTCCACTTCTCATCTACTCAGAATTAGCAGTGAAACAGTTTTGAAAGAAGCTTTGATTTCTGAACGAGAAATCTTAAATTTAATCAGTAAACCAATCATGACATTATTGTGATTGTCTTGTTTACTGCCTCCTTCAGAGCACACTGAGAGAAAGACAAGGAAATAATGGCTTTCATGTCATTAATCACAGGCAAATGTGTTTGGACTAGTAGTTCACGTTGCCCACTACCACATGATTTAAAATTCAGTGTCAATCTAATATGTATTTCTTATTGCTTACCATAAGACCTGTTAAAGTCTATTTCAAGACACTTTTTGTTTTGGTTGTGGGAAATAGGGATGGGAGGGTCAGGTAACTTTCTTTTTGCTTCAGTAGTGTGAAACAGATTGTTTCAATTATGTAATTACATGATAAACCAAATGCAGGTATTTAGATACAAAATCCAAATAAAAGATTACACCTAATTCCAATAAAAGCTTTCACTTTTCTAATTACTTAGAATGTATGAAAATTTTTCTGAGTTCTAGAGAAAATTCTTAGATTAGAATATCCTCTCCAAAAGTGTCTCTGTGAAATATTTTTTGGAATCTGATTTTCTCTCATCACTCATACTGAAAAAAGTAAAACCCTTCCTGTATTAAGGTTTACATCTGGTTGGACTTCAAATTTTAAGTTCAAGATGCATGTAGTTCCAGCATGGGGGCCTCCAGATAAGCTTATAAACCAGCTTGCTTCTGTAATGCTTAACCGGTCTTCTAAAATCCAGTCAGCTGGAATTTTTTTATCTTTAGCTAATGGCCCAGCTCCATTGGTTGTTAAAGGGGTACATTTCAATACATTGTTCCCTCTTTTTTGAATGAGGTCATATTTCTCTGTGGGGATTTATCTTTGTTTCTGCTCAAAGCCTATGTGCACTCCCAGCTAAATTCCACTTTAAATTAAAATCTTTTTATATTTTTGGACCCCCAAAATAGTGTGAAATTGGGCCTCAGTCTTACATGAAGATAGGCCAGAGGCCATGAGTTCTCATGGAAGACTTGTTCTTCCTCCATCAAGAGCCGTGGTGCATTCAACAAGATTCTTGCGGTTTCTGCAGGGCATTTTGTTTTCTGGATCATCTTTTCACTTCATTGTGAATGTAGCACTTCTCTATGTGCACCAGGATATCTCTGAGCCTGCTGCCTGCCCTCGGTGGGCCCACGGCTCTGCCTCCCGTCCTTCTGAGACGGCCTTTAAAACCCAAGCTTTAGGCCACCTGGGACGCTCGCGATTTCCTTGGGGCAGAGCTTTCAGCGTTTATTACATCCTTGGACTCATGTTCCTGCTTCTTCTCTGCTTTTAGATGAAATCTTTAAAAGGCTGAACTATTCCTTTAGAGAGCAATAGTAATATTTTTAATCTAACATATTTGATATTTTTCTTAGTAGAAAAATTTCAGGATCTCTGGTTCATTATATTGCTAGAAACCAAATTCTTACCCCTTGATTTGAGAAAGGCTGCCTTAAATCATACATTTGGGGTAATTTTCCAGGATTTAAGGCTACCGTCTTTGAGGGGGAAAGAGAAAGAATTTGTCAGCACCAATCTCCAACAGTGTTTCAGCGTCAGGTTCGCTGAGTTCAATTCATTACCCTTATTTTGAGCATCGTGTTTGTTCAAGACACTGTGCTTGGCATAAATAGTCTTGCGGGAATTAGCAGTTTAGTATAGATCTGTGTTTGTTACGCTTTCTACTTATAGTCGAGATGCCTAAAATGAAGGAGGTGCTGGAGAGAGTTTAAGATAATGCACATGAAAACAGGTAGTGAATTCACTAGGCATCTGTAGATTTTGAGGTTGGAATGCAAGTTTCTTAGAAAAAGTACCTATTTGATAGAAAAGTACAGCAGTAGCTAAAGACAAATCAAAACTTTACCTTTGAACCTCTCATATTAGAGTTTAATCCCTTGCCAGTATTCTGCATAAAGCAAATGGAAATATTTTATTTCCTGTTACAAATTTAGTTCCTCCTCTCCCCTCTCTGTATGTAGCTCATCTGTCATGGTGAGTGATACAGAAAAATTCACCGCTGTAAAGCCTCCTCTGAAACTCTTTAAGTTAGTTACTTCATCTGCCTTTCCAGAATAATTTATACAAATCTTTTAGGTCACTTACTGTGTGACGTCACTGAAATGCACTGTTTTGAAATTGTTTTTCCTGCTAAACCGATTTGCCTACTCTGGTACTAGACATAATAAAAGCTTAATTTGTGAGTGCTTTATATGTGACTAAATACAGATATACATTACATTTAAACTTTATAACAAACTTGTGAGTATTTCGCTTTACATTTGAGGAAACAGACTTATGGAAGCTAATAAGTCAATTTGTGTAAATCTCACCACTAGTAAGTAGCAAGACTAGGATTTAAACCAAATCTGACTCCCTTACCATGGTCTTACTGACTATTCTGTGTGGCTAGAACACTGCCTGTTTTTCTAGTGCCTGGACTCCTTTCTAGCGCCGAGTAGGCACTCGGGAGATACTTACTTAATGAAAAGTTAGTGAACATTGAAACACTGCTTTAATGGAAACTTTTATGAATTTAGTGATTGCCAAATATTTACACATACACCGAAGTTTTGAATTCTGGGATATCAAAGAATAGGAGTGTGCCAGCTATCAAATTCTAAGTGTGTGTGTACGCATACGCACAGTACAAAATGTAATAGGTAATTAATTGTCATAGCATTAAAAACTTAATATCACATAATGCAAAATCAGAATACTCAGGTATTATGTCTCTAACCTAATCATTAGATCCCCATCACTTAGATTAAATGGGCAGTACTACCCACATACAGGCCGAATCTGGCCTCCCTCCTGTCTTTATAAACAAAAGTTTCATTGGAACATAATCATGCCCATTTGCTTGCTGCTGTGGCTGCTTTTGTGCTGCCAGGGCAGGGTTGAGTGGTTCAGCAGAGATGATATGGCTGGCAAAGCCTAAAATATTTACTTTCTGACTTAGTGGAAATAGTCTGCCGACTCCTGACGTAGATCCACTGTTGTTGTATCACTTGGTGAACTATTATTCTTTTCTGTTTCCAGCATCTTCGAGATAGATATGAAATTCGGCCAGGCGATGCTTCTCTGTATATAAATGGGCTTCACATTGATATCAATGCTTATGATCCTTTTAGGCAAGTATTGAATTATTTATATAAACTATGGTTTTACATATGAAGGTAAGCATTGTCCTGAATTTGGTATTCATCGAAATGCAAATAATCACATTAAACATAAAGCAAATACACTTTTTTGATTGTGCAGAACAGCTCTGTTATTTTGGTAGAATATTCTCGTAAGTGTTTCTGAACATGAGAACTGGAAAAGACCTTGGAGACGTTTGTTCGGATGAGAAAATTGAAGTTTCTGAATCCTAGACCTATTCTTCCCCTATTATTTGAAACTGTCTTTAATTGACACATCATTTTGCTGTAATATTTCTTAGGATGAGACTCAGTAGCCAGGAAGCTGTACCCTCCAGAAAAGAACTGAAACGAATATGAGATGTTTTCCCAGAATAAAGAAACTTAACAGGAAGAAGTTAAAGTGCTTATATCTGTCAGACAGGAAATTTGAAATTATAGATTGCTGGATACTATCTCCTAAGGTCAAAAATGTTCCTCAAAAATGCTCTAGTGCAGAATTAGAAAGTCTTGTATTCATTGTGATCATTGACCTGTAAATTTAAGTCATAAGCCAAACAGAAGAGAAATCAAACTAAATTTATTTTATTTTTAAAGAGAATCATAAAACTACTTTAAAAATTCATATTTAGACTATAAGATGAATTTAGTAATAAACACAATACTTTAGTTCAAATATTCAGTTTTAGTTGAATTGAATTTGCTTTTATTGAACTTAAATTAACTATTTGTTTCATTTTCTTAGTAGTTTGGAAATATATAGGAAAATACAGGAAAGATTGAGAAGTATTGAGTAGTTCAGGTGGGGCTTTTTTCTTTCTTTAGTTGAATCTTTGGACCTAATGTTGGGTAAATTTCATCTAAGATATAGAGGGTAAGTACTACACATAGAGAAGAGCGGTTGTTAGCTCCTGGCTGTAAAATTCAGAGGACAAAAATTGCATCTGTGCTCAGAAGCAGTGATAATAGGCTTAAAAGAGGGCGGAAATGGTAGGTAGATTTTGGAAAGTTTTCTGTGGCATTGTATGGGGAAATTTCCACAGCAAGAGCACTCTGATGTGTAATTTAGAAAGGTTGGAGGTTATTCACGAAACAGAACCACCTTGACTCTTCTACCTAGTACTTAGTGTTTGCAGGATGCATGATGCATTTTTGTTCCTCATTAGTGGGATCACTAGTTGTAGCTGCTATTAATTCCCTTAAAGGAGAAAAAAGAAAATATGTGAGGATATTTATATCTTCTGACATTTTTAGCACAAAATAAACAAAGTTTCTCAGGAGAGATCTGAACATGTAGAATAAACACAGTGTGAAGAAACTGATGAATGAAAAAAAATGATTCAGGAAAGAGGAGAGGAAGGAAAATGTCATATTACTGAAATTATATCTTGGATCTAGAGAGAGGTCCTATGCAACTAGTTCTTTAGAATTGTCCATTTAGGGAAAGAACACGAAAGAAGAACTGTTTTTCTCTTCCTTCCTATCCTGTCCCTTGCTGCATTTTTGGGTTGTGGAGAACTGATGCTCTGCCTACAGCCTAACCTTTCTTCCTCTGATCCCAGAGGATCCAAAGCCTCCATGCCTCAGGATCAGGTCAGCATTCGTTCAGTCCAGGCTGTGCCCAAACCTAGCTCTCGTCTCCAAGGAGACTAGGATGATAGGAGGCAGTGGCAGTGACCAGGGGAAAAGGCAGGTAGGACCAAGTAAATTTAGGGAGTTCCATAAATGTGTCTTACATATCTACCTTAGATACATCTAGCTTAGAACTACTTAATAGTCACCTCAGCCATAGAATGGACCAGACTCTGGTCAAGTACAGCTGCTCAAGAAATGACTCAGGTACAAAGTGGATGTTACACATTTTGATGGCCAGTCATTTCCTGCTTGAGTAGTGTCACTGCAATATAACTACCGGAAAGAGGTAACAAAGATGTCTTGATATCCCACTTGTGTAGTTTTTCTGTAACTTAATGAAGTTGTCTGATTCAGTTCTTTTGAGCTCTTGATAAATACGTATTTGTAATGCAAGCAACATTAAAATTCAGTATTATAAAATCAATATTAAAATTTGATTTGGTAAATATCTGAAAGCTTACTACGCTGTAGACTGCTAGATATTGGGAGCATAGTGATGAACAAGACAGAAATGCCTTGCTTAAGTAAGATGTACAGTCTAGTAGGATAGCTAATATTAAATAATTGTATTGTGATAAGGTTTATAAAAGGTAAATGGGAATTTTTAACTCCAGAGATTTAAACTTGTAGAACAGGAGGGACAATGGATATCACATTTCTTCAAGGAAGTGATACTTAAGGATGAATCAGGGGAAGTGAAGAGTTGAGGTTCTGCAAGAGTGACATATTTGAGAAAATGAATGGAATAGTGTGGCCAGACTGTGCAGTGGGGAGGAGCTGGAAGAAGCTCAAGTTGCGCAGGTAGGCAAAGATCAGATTGTGGAACCATGTTTCAGATTTTGGCCTCAAGGAAAGGAGAAGCCAATGAAGGGATCTAAGCAAATTTAAAGGTAGTAACTATTTAGAAGAGAGGCATGAGAAATTATTTTAATTATTTAACAATCCAGAGATATAAGGAGTTTTCCTGATAAATAAACCTAGCGTATTTCAAGAACCAGGTTTTTTTCCAATCAAAATCCAAAATTCAAGATTTGGAAAGAGCAAGGAAGAAACTAGTGTCTGTTGAGGACAACTGTGTGCTCAGTAGTAAATTTACTTCATCTTAATACCCTATAAAGTGATTATTAATATTCTCTTTTTATACATGAGGAAATAAATACTCAGATTTCACATAAAGTTGGGATGCAGCTAGTAGCAGGATTTGAAATCTCATGCCCTTTCAATGTACCACACCATGTAACTCTAGTTTTTCTATTGGTGGTTTTCTTTGGAAAGCAGGTCGAGATAACAAAGATGATAGTTAAAAAGCTATGAGGAATATTACAATTCTGTCACACAAAAAAGTATCTGATCTATAAGCATCATAAAATTTTTAAAATGGAAAGAACATTTGCAATGCCATCCAACATTCTTATTTTACAAATGAGAAAATTTAGACTAAAGGGATTAAGAACTTGAAGAACCCACACATGAAGTAGTGTCAGAGCCCCAGCTGAATCTTATTATTAGGTTGGTGATTTATGATTTATCCCAGTTATCTTCTAATAGGTTGGGGCAGGGTGTAAAAAGTCTACTTTAAAGCGGTGATCAGAACTGTCTAGGATTCAGACGTCCTGAGCTGGTGTAATACAGGCCAGCTTGAAACACTTCTAAAACAGCCTTCTTCAGAGTTTAGGTATTAAATCTCTACTTTTTAAACGTGGATCTCTACAGTCCTCTGTGAGAACTGTATTCTAAAACCCATATATTGCTTTATTCTGATTCTGCTTATTTCTGAAAGGCAAAATGATTTTCATGAATGGATTTTTGAATGAAGCTCAGTTAAGTATAATAAATATGAATTTTAACACTTGGTTTTAAAAAGTAATAGTCAAAATTCCTCCTTGCCTGGTAGACTTTTACCTTCTCAAACACGAACACACTTTACCATAGTCTGTAAAGTGTTCTCTTTACGGATATAGGGAAGCAGTTCATTCCTGTAGCCTTCGTGTCCCAGCTCCGCCACTCCACTGGCTGGGTGGCTGGACGGGGCTTCACCTCTCCGAGCCTCAGCTGCGTGGCTTGAGACGTCCTGAGGTGGTTATGGGACTTGGAGGAGCTCTGTTTTTGTTTTGTTTTGTTTTTTTCATTTTACATTTTTTTATTGAGTAATAGTCATTTTACAATGTTGTGTCAAATTCTAGTGTAGAGCACAATTTTTCAGTTATACATGAACATGTATATATTCATTGTCACATTTTTTTTCGCTATGAGCTACCACAAGATCTTGTATATTTTCCCTGTGCTGTACAGTATAATCTTGTTTATCTATTCTGCATTTTAAAATCCCAGTCTGTCCCTTCCTACCCCCCACCCCCTTGGCAACCACAAGTTTGTATTCTATGTCTATGAGTCTGTTTCTGTTTTATATTTCTGTTTTGTTTTGATTTTTTTTTAGATTCCTCATATGAGCGATCTCATATGGTATTTTTCTTTCTCTTTCTGGCTTACTTCACTTAGAATGACATTCTCCTATGGTAAGGCTATTCCTAGTCTTTTGAGGAATCTCCATACTATTTTTCACAGTGGCTTTCCTTGCTTCCCTCTCCCACTCTTAATGATTTAGAAGTCTTCTTTTACAGTTTTGTGTTTATTCTTTTTGTAATTCATGGCAGTTATCTCCTTTCCAGTTATGAGTTTCTCATTTTTGTAGCATCCTGCTTCTTTTCTATTTAGCGTAGACCTGTCAATATTTCTTTTAGCATGGGTTTAGTGTTGCTAAACTCTTTTAGTTTTTGCTTATCTGTGAAGTTCTTTATCCCTCCTTCTATTCTAAAGGATAGCCTTGCTGGATAGAGTATCCTAGGCTGCATCTTTTTTTAATTCAGGACTTTGAATATATCTTGCCACTCCCTTCTGGCCTGTAGTGTTTGTGTAGAGAAATCAGCTGAGAGCCTTATGGGGGTTCCCTTGTAACTCACTCTTTGTTTTTCTCTTGCTGCCTTTAGGATCATTTCTTTATCCTTGACTCTGGCCATCTTGA